TCTGGGTAGAAAATGAGGTTCTACTATATCAACCAAGATTTTTATTTACAAACATTTCAAATGCTATTATTGAAAGACCTATGGTCTTCTGGCTGGGAAAAGACCCTTCCAGAAGATCTGAGGGAGGAAAGCTAGAAGAGAAAGTAAGGGGTGAATTATTTGTGTAAGAATGTGTAGTGTAAGTCTATCACTGACTTACCAGGTTACACTTCTGTCCACATCTCAAGCACTTTGAGGTCTATGGATGTAAAGGGCTATATAAGAGCTTTGGTGAGTATTATTTATTCTACTTATTATCTCCTTTGAAGCACTGCAAATACATCCTGAAGCAGCACTAAGAATGAGAAAAGGGGAGGTTACACTTAAATGTTGTCTACGTTTTTTCTAATCAATACAGTATACACCCATTTATCCAAAATCCTATTATCTGAACTTCCACATAATCCAAATCCCTTCCTTGTATCTCATGCTGGGAAACAAGGAAGGGATTCAGATAATGTGGCGGTCCAGATAATAGAGCAAAGACCCCTGGCCAGGATTGAGAGGAGGAAAACAAGCCCCTGGCTGCAGGGGAGGCCACCAGGGATCTGGGGGTCATAGTGTATCACAAGCTAAATATGAGTCAACAGTGTAACACGGTTGCAAAAAAAGCAAATATCACTCTGGGATGTATTAGCAGGAGTGTTGTAAGCAAGCCATGAGAAGTAATTCTTCTCCTCTACTCCGCACTGATTAGGCCTCACCTGGAGTATTGTGTCCAATTCTGGGCACAACATTTCAGAAAAGATGTGGACAAATTGGAGAAAGTCCAGAGAAGAGCAACAAAAATGATTAAAGGTCTAAAAAACATGACCTATGATGGAAGATTGAAAAAAATGGGTTTGTTTAATCTGGAGAAGAGAAGACTGAGAGGGGACATGATAACAGTTTTCAAGTACATAAAAGGTTGTTGCAAGGAGGAGGGAGAAAAATTGTTCTCCTTAACCTCTGAGGATAGGACAAGAAGCAGTGGGCTTAAATTGCAGCAAGGGAAGTTTAGACTGGACATTAAAAACTTCCTAACTGTCAGAGTGGTTAAGCACTGGAATAAATTGACTAGGAAGGTTGTGGACTGTCCATTATTGGGGATTTTTAAGAGTAGGTTGGAGAAACACCTGTCAGGGATGGTCTAGATAATACTTAGTCCTGCCTTGAATGCAGGGGACTGGATTAGATGACCTCTCAAGGTCCCTTCCAGCCCTATGATTCCCTGAATGGCTCCTGCAGCAGCACAGGGATCCCTCTGCATCCCTGATGTCCTGGGAGTAAGTGAGCAGGGCCATGAGAGCAGAGCTGCAGAGGGGTCCTGGTACTGCAACAGGGACAGTGACACTGGATCCTTTCAGGCATTAGGTGTGGGCAGGGCTGCAGTCCCGGCAGGGCAGAGCAGAGCCTTAGCCAGGGACCTCTGTTTTGCCCTGCCAGGATCACTGTCTCCCATCCCCCACCCACACACACATGCAGGAAACAGTTGTCACCAGCCCTGTGGCAGTGCAGGCAGCCCTCTACAGCCCCACTGTCACAGGAGTGAGTGAGTGGGGCAGAGCAGAGACTCCCCCAGCCTGGACTGTGACGAGGAGGTTGAGAAGAAGACCTTGGCCGCAAGCAAGGCCACCCTACTGCTGAATGGCTCCTGCCATCTCAATCAACCAAACTCCTCATTATTCAAACAAAATCCATGTCCCCTGTGCTGTTTGGATCATTGGGAATATAGTGTACACCATACTCACATTTCCCTACCCGCAGTTCGAGCACTGCCCCTGAAATGATCAGGCATTTTGGGCTTCTAGAGGAGACATCCCGTGCCTTCCCTCATGGCATCTTAGAACATATCTGCAGTACTAGTGGGGTTCTTCTTTTTGTTAAAGAAAACTAATATCTTCTAGGATATTCCAAATCCTCCACAGAGATAAATGAAATCTTCTCATCCCTCCCAAGAGGAGATATGGAGCATTAGGTCAAACTTTAAATCTTGACGTCACTGCTGAGAACTTTGAAAATGAGTCAAGTTGGTGGCAACTTAAAGAGCGTTATATGGTCAGCAGCTGTAGGTCTTGAATCTGCGTTAAATAAAGCCCTAATTAATATCTCAAATTAAATTCCATCTTTGTCCATATACAATTATAGATGCCCTCTTGGACCAATCCCACATCAGGCAAGATCTTCCTTTACATGACTCTCACTAGCATTTAATCAAAGCTATTTTAAATGTCTCTAATGATGCCTCAACTACCTCGCTAAACACTGTAAGCAATTGATTCCACTGTCTCATTGCCCTTATCATTGAACTTTGTTTTCGGATATCTAACTTGAATATTTTATGCTTATTTTATACCATTACAACACACTTTTACAGAAAATAGTCCCTTGCCCTTCCCCCAGACAATACCTCTCAAATATTTCCACAGTGGTATCCTATTTCTTTCCATCGCCTTTTTTCTGAGGCATTCAAGTGAAGTCCTATCAGTGGAACTTTAGATATCATACCACCTATTCTTAATGAGACAGTATCAATAGAGTACTTGGTGATAGTCCTACAATAGGACAGCTGGGCCACTGATGAAGATACTAGCTAGAGGCCTGGGTTCAATTCTCTGCTCTGCCCCAGACTTTGTATGTGCAAGTGACTTCATCTTCTTGTGCAAGTCCCTTCATCATACTATGCCTCAGTTCCCCACCTATCAAATGAAAATAATAATTCATTTCCCTACCTCAGGTTTGTTGTGAGGGTAAATACATGAAAAGCTTGTGAGGTGCTCACATGTTATGGGGGCATATAGGTAGATAAGGGGGGCAATCTAGGTACATAGGAAGACAAGGGGTAGAACTTTTCTAAAAGTTTAGTTCCAGATTTTTAAAGGTATTTAGGTGCCTAGTGTGATTTTTTTCAAAGCACCTAACACCAAGACTTTTAAAGTGACTTAGGAGTACTTCAATGGGATTTGTGCTCCTAAGGTCAGCTCGGCTCTTTTGAAAATGCTACCCCCTGCCTCTTAGGATTTACAATGTAAATCCCATTATTGTTACAATCATTCTTTTAAAACTTTCTCTAACTTCTCAATATCCTTTTCATAATGAAGGACCAAATAATACAAAAAATAATGTATTATTCCAAGTGCAGTCTTATCAAAACAGCATCAATAGGCATTACTGCACCTTATATTTTACAAGTTAACATTTTATACAAGTTTAATCACAAAGCATGTAGAATACAGGGTCCACAGCATCAGCTGTCTCACATCATCAATCACTGATCCAAGGATGGAAGTTTCCTTTCTTTTTCCTTTGCAATCTATTGTATCGTGAGCTCCTATCAACTTTAAACCCTTAGACATTTTTCCATATTTCTGCTTTCAGTGTAGCAGTCTCCCACCTTGTGTATAGAAATGAGTCCAAACCATGGATTTGGATCCTATAAACTTGTGGGAATTCACATTTAATTCAGGCTTGTTGTACAAATAGGCCCATGCTTTGAAATTCACATTCAGATCTGAACTTTCCCAAAGCTCTAGAGGTGAATCTGGTGTTGTTGTTCGGGCCTGTCTCTAATCTATATAATTATTTCTCAATTGGTGTTTCACCTTAAATATATCTATATTAAATCTCATTCTGTTTACTGGATAGCTGCCCATCCTTATGAGACTGACAGATTATTCTGCAGTTTTGATCTACCCTGTCTGGTGTTTTTATCCCTCCTCATTTAGTAACAAATAGAATGAATGTAGAGTTTACATTATCATCTAGGTCACTGGTACACAGTACACAGTTCAGTCCTGTTATAGGACTTCTAAAACCTTCAGATAAACAGGAGAGACAGATGAATGGATGAGCTGGGAGACCATTGAAAAGGCCATTTATCTTACCAGCAGCCCTAGAGCATGATGAAGATATGCTAGCTTTGAAGAAATCCTGGAGACATAACTGAGTTTTGGTTTAAACTTGGTTTGTATTGTAGGTCAAAGAAAGCATGTCAAAACTACTTTCTGCATCTATATGGGTATGTGGTCATGTCATCCTCTAATGGCTGGCTCACTGGGAGAATAAGGGACTTAACTACCGCTGCTAGTTAGAGGACAGATCCTCCAGCTTGAAGCGATCTGTATCTGGTGAACCTAAAACCTAGAGTTACTGTCACAACTTTCTCAGGATGGGTGTGATTTCTTTAGGACAATAACTCTATCTGTTGGCTTCCGCATGTGGATTTGTTACATCAGTATTGCCAAGCCACATTTGATTCCCCCATTTTGAGGTTACTTCATGAATTAATCATTCACTGCCTGAGATGAATCAGCCAGGGGCTGGGTATTTTCCCCCCTTTCTCCACATCAACACTCCAGTTTGACTGCAACATGATAATAGAACACATACATTTTCAGCTTCTGAATAATTCCTCCTTACAAAATCACCTCTTCCACTTCAGGCAAGATGTCCAGAATCCCAACATAACTGATTTTTTTTCCAGCCTTCTTTTTATGAACTAAAGCTCTCAGCTTTTTACTAGCTGAAAGGTCTGCATCTCTATTCTGCTTTCCAGTTTTATTCTTCCATCTGGTAAGTACATTCAGTTCATCTATCCCACCAGACCACCAAAAAAAAAAAAAGTGTGGGGGGGAGATTAAGTAAACACAGATTCAAAATCATGGAGCAGTTAGTAGCCCCCTTATACACGATATTTATATTTAACTACTGTACATGGAACCAAAGCATCACCTAAAAAAACAAGCATTCTATGTATAAAAATTTAAAACCACATTGATAACGCATCTGGCATGCTCCTAATTATGAATCTCTTAGTGGACTAATATTCCCTTTAGAAGCAAAACAGTAAATATAACAAGGGAAACATGATTATTAATTTCTGTTTGCTCTGTCTTTCAAGACAAACACTCACTCTCATGTGCTCCCAAAATTTTTCACAACTGGAATTTATTGAAGTAGTGACATGACACACTGCCCACTAATTAGACATTTAAGAAAGAAAAGCACATCCCGTTCTTCAGCAGGAAGACAATATTATCAAAAGCATCATGCTGTAAAATGCATTTGAACCAGAATAGCTTCATTCATATATATATTGGAATGACCCAACTTTCACCTGTATCATTAGGGCCCATCTGACCAATCTTGGGTCCATAAAATTCATTCCTCCTGTAGAAACAAAGCATAATGGTTGATTATCCATGCAAATGCTTCCTTCGCTTTCTAGAGAATGCTGCTATTTAGGAGGTGTTATCATTGTGCAACTTATTTTGATGGGCATCAGCTTCCCTTCTTTCTCCACTGAAGTTGGGAGGAAAAGAATATTGTGGCTTGTGCATGGAATGGTGACATACATCATCTGGATGAGTGAGAATTTATTGTCCTGCTGTATATTTTGTGCTATGGATAATAATATATAGCTTCCTCACTGAAAGGTGGAGAGTCTGGCTCATTAAGAGCTAAATCCTTAAGTCTTTACTTAAGGCTACATTAGATCATTCATTTCAAGCAGAACTCCCCCTTGAAATCAATGGAGAAATTCATGGAAGGGGCCCAGATGAGCAGGAAGACTAAGGAAGTTCTCTTCACAGTTTTCTCTTTATTGTCTCTCCAGGGGTTGGGGTTTGTTTCCCTCAAACAAGGAACTGGGTGAGTTCCACCTTTTTGGGGTATCGATAAACAATGTAATAGCAGGTCCTACCCCACTGCGTGCCACTTCTCAGGGCTGGGGTTGGAGTTTCACAGCACGCAAGGGTCTGTGCAAAAAGTAAATACTGAATCCCTCCGTATTAGCTCTGCAGTGGAATCCCAGAGGAGTTGGTCAGGAATGATGTGTGTCCTTTACTGCCCCAACCAGGGCTTCCATTTGTCCCCACAAGTGGATCCTCAGCTCTGCGGGAGGGGGAGGGGTTGGCAGCTTCTGAGGGAAGTTGGGGGAGAAGGAGATACCCCAGAGGTGCCATTCCCTACTTCCATAGCTGGGTGTGGAGCTCCTCCCCCACTGGAGGGGGAAGAGCCAAGCTGGGGCTGAATAAGAACTTCCTGATTTGGTCCTAATTGAAAGACACATGGTCTGAGCAAGAAATTCCTTGCCCAGATTTTCAACACTGACTAGTGGTTTTGGGTGCTTAACTCTTGACTCCCTAAAGGGGCCTCATTTTCAGAGGGTAGGTGGGTGCTATACATTTTCTGAAAATCAGACCCTTTTATGACATCTCAGCCTGTGGGCCTCCAGATTGAGACATCCAGATTCACCAGCCACCTTGCAAAGTGTGAATCCCCCCTATTTTATTTCTGATTTTTGTCCTAAAGAAACAATGGACACCTATTGTTCTCCTATGTTCCCTCCTCAGCTGATCCCATCTATGTACTGCACTACCTACCTGTTCCATTATAGTGTCATGTAAGGCTGATTTGCAAGCATGTCAAAGCCTTCTTAACTGCTGATTTTATGTCTCCAGATGTACAAGCCTTGCTGTCAGCCTCTCTAATTTCCCCTCCCCACCCCCACCACCATTGTGTGGATATCTCTGAACTTGATAGCTCAACAGACTGAGCTGCTCAATATCGATTACCAGCTTTAAGAAATCTTTTCAGTTGAGTCATAGGCTTATCTGCTTTGGTTGTCACATGGTCAGGGATGATGGCATCAATACAGATTATGAATCCGTCTCAATGCCCTATAAATCTGCAAGTTTCCCCATTTCAACCTTCCGCCACCCTAAACCATCTTAAGTTCTGCTGGGAAGTGAGAGGGGGTCAGCGTGTGCTAAGTAGTGCAATTTAGAATATACGAAGAGTGGGGAATGAGAATCCAAGAGGGGTTTAACAACGTTCTTGTTCAGACATCTGCTCCCAGCAAGGGCATCTAGGGACCTGCCGTACCATTTTTTTTTCCTTAAAGATGATCACCATGTATGTTACAACACATAAAAATGTAAAACGTTGTGACAGCCAAGTAAGCCATGAAACATTAAATCTCAAAGGCCCATATGCTCCTCTCCGCTAATGTAAATGGAGAGGAGCAAAAACCCAGTGGAAGCTGGCGGGGGGAAGCAGTGGTTCCACAACACGCTCCCCCTTTCCTCTCAATCTCAGGGATTTCCTCCCTGCCTAAACAGGCGGGGACAGGACTCTAAGCATGCAGGGAATAGGAGGGGCAAAGGGGTAGACTGCTGCTCTTTGGGGCACCATTCCCCTTGAAAGCCAGGGAATTTCCTAATAGAAGATAATGCTGATCCCTTGGTATTTTGAACTCCCAACCCCCACCTCCAAGCAGTGGCTGGCAAGAAACCCATGGGATCAAATGAGAAGGGAACCCTGAGCTGCCAGACACACGGACCTGTTCTTTGAATGCCATGGATCCATGGGATTTCTGTGCCATTCTCAGGACATCAGCAGGTCTGAGTGATCTCAGCACACCTTCCTGCAGGCCAGTAGGGGAGAATCCTTGCCTCCCAACAGATTACTTTGCAAGAAACTCCATGAACTGAAATTTACTGAATTTCTTGGTCCCTCTTGAGAAGATGTTATGCACAATACAGCCCTAAAACAGGAAAATATTTTGGAACCGCTTAGATTCTATTTATCCAACAAAGCTCTAAGCCTTAATGCCTATAAGTCCTGATCGAGCTCAAGGCCCCATTGGTCCATCTTCTATACAAACCTATCAGGACATATGGTCCCTTCCACCAAAGAGTTTACAATCTAGGAATGTTTTAACATGTATCTTTCAGTAGTTTCCACTAACATTTGTTAAACGAATGAATTATAATATACAAGTATAAGCGGATTCACTGTGTAGCTCAACCTGCAGCATGTTATAGGTGGCTCTGGGCTGGCCTCCAACATCTAACACTGGTCCCCAAACTCCAGAGCATAACCGTACTTTGGGGCTGCTGTCCAATTGCAGTAGAAACTAGAGACAAACACCTAATGTAGCCAAGGGAAAACCAGATGGGAAATAACTTGCCCCTTGCTTGGGTGTGCATTTTTGCCCTCTGCACAGGCATGGCTCCTCCTGGTTTTGGATCCTAGTGTACACTTTACTATTGGATTCAATTGTTGGAAGGGTAGAAAGGATGAGAATTATGCTTTTAGTAAGTGCTTGATCCTGCAAGATGCTGAGCACTCTCAGCTCAATCCAGCCACGCATAAATATTGGTACACCCATGCTTAAAGTTAAGCAGCTGCTTAAGTGCTTTACTGAATCAGTGCCGCAATGCTCAGTCAGCATCTTGCAGGGTGAAGCCCTAAGACATTTCCTTTTGTTTGCTGGTGAACCACAGCTGTTTGAAACCAATGTGATCTTGAAAAGGTGAAAACCATACTGGGGCCACTGAAGGGGGAAATAAAGGCTCCATGGCATGACATCTCTAATATTTTGCCATAGGTGAACATATGCACACACCTAAAGCTGAATATTCAGTATCCCTCTGTTTTGATTAATTGTTACGATTGAGGAAATCCAAGATCCCATAGGGAAAGATTTGAGCTGGGACATCAAATTAGGAAAACGTGTTTTCAGAAATGAATAGAGCGGTCTTCATTAATTCGATAATGACAAATATTTACAATGTAATTACATCCGTTCTTTTCCTACCCAAATATTATTTTAAGGGTTTCTTGGCATGGAAGAGACTTTCTTTGAAAACCCTGACCCAATGTCAGGAAGAGAACAGACCTAATTCTCTTAATCTAATGACTGTTACCGAAGGGTGACTACTTTAGCAATGCTCAGCTGAAAAATGAACTTTGCAATAAACGACCTTCACAGAAGAAGACTATTCATGTTAATTAGTAGCTCTTTTCAAACAGGATTCATATATGTCATTCTGAACAATGCCAGCATTGGAGTAAACATCAAGACAAGACTCAAGTATCGTAATATCATCATTTTAGAAAACTCTAGTTAGGTTTTTCCCCTTAGATTAAAAGTCGCTGCTGCTGATGTATTGCACAACAGTATCTCGACTAATGGCTTTTAGCTTTTGCCACTGCCAACTTTTTATATTTAAAATACAGACAATTATGGACAATTTATAAGCATTATGAGGTTCTCTCTCTTTATTTTTCCCCCCACTGATTCTTACTGATTCAGCCAGCTTTTATACCCAGCAAATAAAATGCATTTTGCTTGCAACATTACATTCATTCTCACATATCCCACTTTCTTCTTATTATTAGTATTACTTATTATGCATATTTAATTTAAGAATGCATTTTCTCCATTAAAAAATTAGAATATTTTGAAGTGCTAGAAAGTGATTATTTGTGTTAGTTTTCTTTGCTTAACCATTCAAATGCGGATGTGGTCTTTCTAAAGTGTGTGCTTAAAGAGCACTGAAAATGGCAAAAGGAGAATGCCAAGGGGAAGAAAAATAAAATAAATTCATTCCCAGAATATAGGATATTATTTTTGCATATTTTGTCAAAATATACCTCAAGGGATAGTTTCAGCCTTTTAGAAATCTGTTATCTTGGTAGGACAATCTTACTACAATAAATGTAATCTACAAACATGTTCTTAAGAGATACAACAAGACATAGGGGAAAATAAAGAAAGTATGTATTACTGATTCCGTGTGAGTTGGGAGTCAAATTTATTGATTTATTTAATTTATTTATATAGTGTCTCTCTTGTTGCACATAAGCACCATACAGCCAAACCCGAGTACAAACTGTTAATGGGAAAAAAAGCCAACCGACCAAGTACAATGGAGACTTACATGGCATAAAAATACCACTTAACCCTCAAAAGGATCACTTCCCAACTAATTAGGGTATTAACAATAACTTTGTAATGCAGGTAGCATTCTAAGACTGTGCTTTATGAAAAGCATCATTTGTGTTCCAGAATAATCAGCTAACATGGACAAAATGAATATATATTAATTGTACCTATTATATCTACATTTTATACTGTGCATTTTGAGCCTTACTAATGTTCAGAAAACGTAACATAATTCCATTTAGCAAATAACATTGCTGCAGGATTAGGCTAACTGTAAGAACCTGCTACCGCCAGTATTTTCATTTTTCTTGAATTGCTGACAAAATTCACTTGGTCTAATTTTAAGCTGAGCATCCTCTGGGAGGAATGACACTTAAGCACACGCCTAACTGCAAGCATGTAAGCAGCCGCATTGCTGTACCTTGCTGAATCAAGACTGTAATTGGTTCTTTGCTTGCCAAATGAGAATAATAATACTTCCTTTCTTTCCCCCTTTGTTTATCTTGTTTATTTAAAGCTCTCTAGGACAGGGATTGAGGCTTACTATGTGTCTGTACAGGGCCTAGCACAATGAGGGGCCTTGGTCCCATTTGGCACTCTTTGGTGCTATCATAATACAACTAATAAGCACTGACTCTAATGGGAGCTGCAGGTGCTCAGCCCTTATGAAAATCATAGAATCATAGAATATCAGGGTTGGAAGGGACCTCAGGAGGTCAGCCTAATTTCTGGATAAGTTTTATTTTGATTTTCATTGGCCACTGTTCCTCCCTCAACGTTCCTGTCTTTAAAATACAAATCTCTAATTCTGTCACTTCAGTTGTGTCGTAATGGGGATGGGCCCACATCATGATCTTTCATCTTAACCCCACCCTGTCCAGCCTTAATTTGGATGGTTTGGATAAAACAGAACCCAGGGCAGAGCAGAGTCTAGCAACCAAGAAGGAAAGTTTGCTTCTGCTAGCTTCTGAGCAAACCCAGAAGAAGAGATTCATGAAGTCTTTTTCAAGAATAAAATTCTGACAATGCTGTGCTTCTTGCATCAGCAGCCATCTTGTTCCTATTCTCTTGATGGGAAGAAGTCTACCCAGGAGCTTTTAGAGTCACTACATAAGAAAAACAGATGGAGAATTTATCTATGCAAATAAATTCTCTGGATGGATGGATGGATGGATGGATGGATGGATGGATGGATGGATGGATGGTCATTGTGGAGCCGCAACTGGGTAAAGGTAAAAGCAATATGAAGAAACTTGCAAGCTTTCCCAATGAGTGGGTAAAAAGTAATAGTTTGTACTAGATTTAGATATGGGTATTCAATATATGCAATAGGTGACATGTATAAAGCCAACAATTTTGAATCTCTATCAAGAGTGCTTTAAAAAGAAGCCAAGAACATTCCTCTATATTTCTTTATCCTCCACCATTCCTATGCTCACATGGAACCCAACTGCTCATTTGTTTTAGGTGATGAGGTCATCTTTCCCATTCAGTGGATAAACATTTAGAAGAAAATTAGAGATGGGCAAAGCTGGGGAAGTCCAAAAAATGGCTTAAGTTTGAGTTTTGATTCCTTAACAGATTTTGGTTTAGTAACACCAAACTCAGAAACTGAGGTAGCTTAGATCTAGTTCATATTTCATCTAAGCACCCAAAGTTTGGAGAAGAATGAGGGCAGAATTGGTTTTGGCTCATCTCTATCTCAAAACGAGATGAGCAAGAGAAACTTGAAGGGCTCTTGGTTTGGCAGCACCTCCTGGGTGTCTCTTTTCCAAAACCAAAACCAAGGGTGGGTCAAATCTGTGTCTCATTTAATTCCCATCAAGACTTTGAGGGATCCATATAAATAGTTCCATTTTTTGCCCATCTCTACAAATGACCTTGAGTATGTTTCAGCTGTTTCTCGAACAACCTTTTAAAAGCATGTATAACAATAACCAACCGCATATCAAAATAGATTTACATATAAGTAAAATTCTCAAAAGCACCTAAAAATTGAGGTAGCCAAAAATCACTAGTCATTTGTGAACATCTTGATCCATGGTGCTAGATGCCTTTGAGGTACAATAGAAAGAGTACAGAGAGCAGATATAGTAGACCAGATAAGTAGCTTTTGATTTGATGTGAAATGTGCATTTCACAGACAAAAAACACAAACACTTTTCTACAAAGGTCTGCTGTCATTGATTCAAAAGTAGAAAACATTTTGCACCAAATAACTCAGGATTATGTATTATTTCATTGCACTCACAAGAGCGCTATTTGTTTCCCTGAAAACACATAGAATGCAGGTCTTTGTCCCCAAAGAGTTCACAGTATCAACAATGGCTTTGACAGACAAGCAAGGACAAAACAAAGGGCAGTTAGAAAAGCGGGAGAAAAGACATGGGTTGTAGACATCTGATTGCTTGGCTACACAGCTTAGGCAAATGGAAGTCTTGATGTTACAGGTTGTTGCTGTTTTACTAAATGTAGACCCACTTGTTTTTTCCCCCGTCACGTCCAGAAGCATTGCCCACAATGTCCCATCCTGCTTATGTGCAGAGAGCCATTGAGGAGCTGAGCTCTGTGGCATACTAAGGATTTTCAAGTCCTCTGGGCTGGGATCCTATAGAGCCTATAGTTCTGAGTGTCCACATCCCTTTTACAAATGCGACTTAGGCTCCTAAGTCACTTGCAGTCTTTGACATATTTTACCCTGATACCTTTTTGTTTTCTAACAAAGCCATGACACCCTTGGGGCTAACCAGCCTGTATGTGGCTCCTGCTGAGGGGATGGTGCCGATGGCTTCTCAAGCCCTCTCCCCACTGCA